GGTTAATTGAGTTGAACTTCCTAAAACATTTACTCAATTTGGTTGTGTTATGCTCTGTTGCAATTAGATCTCTTTATGATTCATTCTGTATGCTGGCTAGATGTGAATGCCATGAAAACAGAGAACAAAATAAAAAAAAAGTCATTTTCTGTGCATAGGCTCAACACAATATGTCTGGTCTACAAAGCAAGCTCTGGCAGTGGCCAATCACAAACTTTCCCACCGGAAAAAGAGATACCCCTGGGGACAACTGGACCTGCTTTAAAGTAGGTCCTGAGAATGACTGGGACAGTTGTCACTGCTGCCTCTTAATGTGACTGCTCCTCTTACCATGGCCACTCTGCTCACAGACCATTGCTGCTCCCAGGCTTGACTGTCTACCTCAGCTGTCTGGCTTCAACATGACAACACCTTGTCTCCCAACTCATAATGCTTGCATCATCCTCTGTATTGGCAAAGTCAGGTTCATGACTTCTCCTGACCCTTAATGCTTGTAGCCTCTGCATCAGAAAGATTAGATTCATGACTTCCCCCGACTACTCACGCTTGCACCTTCATATCATCATAGCCAAATTTGTAGCTTAGCTAACCATTCAGGGACAATACCTTGGGATCCCACCACCATCACCTCAACATAACTAATATGTGCAAAGTATTCCCCTGCAGCCATCACCATGGACTAGTTCCACAGAACAGGCCTACCAACTCTACAACCAAGCAACACTGACTCCGCAACCAAGCATATCTGTATGACATCATGTATATAATAACAATAAATGTTGTTCAAATTCTAATATTCATTATTCCTTTCTCTCAAAAGATTAATATAACAACAGGTGACAGAAGGGTGCAGTGAGGGAAATGGATATAACAACTCTCATCAGCAGCAAAGGATTACCAAACTCAACAGGACCAGCAAAAACATTCTCTCTTTACCAACAATCATCTCATTCCCAACTGAATTCACCACTTGCTACCTATGAATCAGACTGAGATCTGGGGGAGCTGTTATACTCTGTTGCAATTAGATCTCTTCATTCTGTATGTTGGATAGATGTGGACACCATGAACAGAAAAAATGAAATAAAAAAAGATTTTCTGTGCATATGTCCACACATCACATCCAGTCTACAAATCAAGCTCCAGCAGTAGCCAATCACAAACATTTCCATTGGAAAAAGTGATTCCCCTGGGAACTACCAGCCCGAGAATGACCGGGACCATTACGGACAGCTAGCACACAGGATATTGTTACATGAAGATAATCTGTTGATCCTAGTGTTGACAGTATTAGGAATTTAGTTTATTATTGACTTTGGATGGTTCGAGTGGACATTGATGTAGATGGGGATTTGATTTTCTTTATGGAAAGGTTTGAAAGTATCATTTGAAAGATTGAAGGTAATATCTATGAAGTTAATGATTTTTAGATTAGAGGATATATCAATCTTGAATCCCAGAAATTGGAAAGCTTTTATGATCATTTTTTTTTTAAGACTTACTTGGTTGGGGTCAATAATCCTACTGAGGGTGTCTACTAAGATAAGAAATAAAAATAAAAAAATAAAAACAAGCAAAATAATTTAACCCAAATAAATAAATAAACAAATAAACGACTTCCAGTAGAATAACCGCCAAAATAGACTACCCACAATGCACCACTGACCCGTATATATATATATATATATATATATATATATATATATATATATATATATATATATATAAATAGCCGAGAAAATGACACTACTTGTGGCCTGATGATTGCATCTAGCATGAAACAGACTGTCGCCTCTAAGTGTTGACTTCTATGTTCACTTTTATATTTACACACGATCTATCTCTGATATTGAGCACTTTATCCCATAAATATAGCACATCTTAAGACTATATTTCTTATATATATATATATATATATATATATATATATATATATATATATATATATATATATATATATATATACATACTAAGTTAGCTATTTGAGCAGAGTCATATGCTCCCCATAGGAACATCAAAATTTTCATTATTACATTTAACCCAAGGGGAGTCATTATATAATTATAGATTGTCTGGATGCTATAATAATGTTAAGTTCATCATCAGTAATGTAAAATTTAAGCTATTTAGTAGTAGGTCTATGGAAATGGAGGGGTAAAAATTACATACATATATGTTTACATATATAAAATTTCATATTTGTGCATGTTTGATGAATGCTGACTGATGAAATTTTCTTGTTTGAGATCTTTTTTATTCAGTTCAAACCCTTTTCCTAATTCCAGACAGAATTTGATTATAAATTGTCCATTGACATCTGAGCCCTTTCAGCTTCCTTAAACCATTATCAATTTCCTTATATTTTTAACAAAACATGCATTTATATATTTCATTCTTTTATGCATATTTTGCTGAATATGATGGACAAGGAAGATTTTGTAAGTTCTTTATTCAGCTTTTCCTGTCTTTGAGTTTGGTTCAGGCTGGATCTCTAGCTGAAGAAGAATTGGTCAAAAATACTGTCAAAGGTGGGAGGTTGTCTTTAAAAGGTGTGCTCCATGTACATCTTTCCCTTCATCCTTTACTGGCCATCAATAATCTCTCTCTCTGCAAGAACTGTTGGAAGACAATCGAGAATTTACTTTTCTCCCTCTTGTGGGGTGGATGCAAACTGAAGGTCTGCAGAACCATTTGTGTCCAGCATCTGTGTCATGAGATGCTGGAAATACCACACTTGGTGATTCACCAACATGCCTCGAGATTGGTTTTCCTATGCCACACATTAACAGAAGATTCACTGTAGGTGAGGCATGTTAGCAATGCTTTCCCTAGCTTTACCACCATTCCACCCATTTGTGGGGTTGAGCACAGTTGTAAACCCCAGAATCAGTCAGAATTCTTCATTGAGGGTCGAGAGGACTTGCATGCTACTCCTCGGTCCAGTGATCTTTCATGGCCTAGGAGAGCATTGTATCAGGAACTATTGGAGGAGGCAACAATGGAACCACTCTGTTGGAGACTCGACCGGTCAGCTACTGAGTTGCGCTCTTTCTGGTCCTGGATGCCAGTGGCAAATTACCTTAGCAACCCTGAGTTTTCTCTTACCTGGTAATTGATCTGGAATGGGCTGTCTCTCAATAATGTGACTTTCAGAGTGATCTGGGCACATATGCCTTGGTTTAAAAGAAACAGATGTACATGCCTTCTACCACTGTCCTCAGATGCTCTCATTCTGGGATTAAGTCGGTGAGTTGACAGTTTATATCAATCCTGAACATCTCATGTCCATTGATCTCACATACACATGCAATAATATGTTACACCTGTGTTCTGGGGTGAAACAGATTTTGTTTATAATGCTGCTAGCTGAAGTAAGGATGGTGGTGTGGACAACATGAATGGAGGGAATCTTATGAACCAAATGTTATCCTCATTAAGATTTGTTTGGATTCTTTGGGCATCAGCTCAAGATGAAGATCAGAACTGATAATGTTTGCTATTGGCAAATTTCAGTGAAAGGTGGGTAAAATCACAAGCATGAATGGAGCCAGCCTTGATTTCCTTTTTTAGTCTGCTTTTGACACAACAGGGCGGTTTCCTGATTGACCCCTTCTCTGGTTAAGCTAGACTCTTTTTGTTCTCCTAGCTAATGTGAGTAATTGCTATTCCCAGTATTCTTCTTTGTTATGGTCCTTGTCAAAATTCCCAATCTCCCTAGTTTGTTTTTATCTCCTTTTTATCTTGATAGGGTCAGATTTTGATTTTCCCACTCCACAATTTATTTTGTCCTTCCTTTAGTGAGTGAGCCTCTTGATTTTGCCTATTGGCAGAATACAGCAACCACTCTTATTTTTCTGTGAGGTGAATAGGTCCTACTAACATATTTTTGTTTTAGTTTGAATATTTTGTTGTTTTTTTATTGTGATCGTTCCCTCTCATCTCATTTCATGGTACATAATTTTATATAATTTTGTAAAAAAAAAATAAAAATTGTAAATATTTATGAATTTTTATGTCATGTGGTTGTCCTGTGAGTATATGATATTTTGGTAAATTGGGTGAAGAGGGATGTGTTCTTGTGATGAATGAGTAAATTGTAATCAATGAATGGGTTGCAAATCAGATTAGCTAGGCTTAGAATAATCAGTGACAACCACTTCCCCTTCCAACTTGTGTCAAAATTGAATGTAAAAGTATGTAGTGGACCATTATGTTGACTATTGGCTTTCCTTCGCAAAATCACATCGATGGTCACCATTATATGTAGAGGACTGGGGAGTGAAGATGTAAAACAAACACATGCGTTTATATTTCCTGCTAGAAGGTCCAGCTACAATAGAATGTTGGACTTGAATCAAGTCCAACTGAAGATAAGGAAGACAAACAAAGACCGACATATATAAACAAATATATGTATTAAACAAAACATTTACAAAGCACATAGACAGTTAACATAGCTACGATTTATAAATTGTCTATTACAAAGTAGTGTCCAATGAATGCTTGTTGTTGTATAATTTAAATTTGTGTAAGTATGTATGTATGTGTGTGATGATGATCATTACAAGTACAGTAAATATACAGTTTTTCTTGAGTTCTTGCATTTTTCCCCCTTTTTTGAGGAGTATGGATGGATGGAGAAATTGTTTATAGTGTTTAGTTTATTACTTGTAAGTAGAAAATCTAATCAAAACGAACATTAATAATGAAAATACTTCATCTACAAATTTAAGTAATTTCTTAGAATCAATCAATTTTAAAATTAGAGAAGTTGTAGTATAATTGAGTGAGGGTAGGTTTAATAAATCATAAACATTTTTAAAGTTAGATTAGTATCAGAGACAGTCGATAGGGGGCATTTTTCTACTAACGGAAGTGCTAGACCAACCTCGTTTTGGTGTTTGTGACTGCAAGCTTCAACTCAGCTGCCATCTTTATCGGTAACGAATTTGTGTCTCGTGTGTGGTGAAGCCCTTTTTTTTCTCTCCCCCTATCCAAAAATGAGGTACGTATTGTTTTCAATACCATGCAATTGGAATGCAATAATACCAAATCCATTCTGATTAACAAACTACGTGTCTATTTTGCAAACAATTATTTGCAACAGTTTTTGTAAAACCTTCTTCATTATCTCCCCCACCACTTTTATTCAATTGATGCTTAACACAAACCCTGTTCAAGTACCATGTGTGCTGTTTTTTATTTATTTTTCTTAGGAACCGGTTTGTAACATTTTACGTATGTATATTTATTTGCATGAAGCCCGTTAAAAATTTAACATTTACTTCGGCTCAAGAATGCAAAATTTGAAGTCCTCAGTCTCTTAAAGAAAAATCTCCCACTCCTTTTGACGCCATTTTCTTTTTTGTTCATCTTCCCAATTCATTGTCAGAATTGTTCCCTAATTAATTAAATGATAAATTCCCTCTTTTTTTTTAATTTTTATTTCGACCTCAAATTTTTCTATAAATTTTTAAAAATTTATCAATTGTTAAATGCGAATTCGGCGGTAAACTAAACTAAATACTTTAACTTTCACTTGCATTCCCCTCTGCTTACAATTATTGAACATGCTGTGTATAAAAAATGTTAATGATTCTTTAAAAACACTTATTTGTAGTTTGTTTTTCTTTAAAATTTTGTATTACTCTTGAATTTTGTCTGTATGAATATGCTTTCTAGCTTTAATAAATTTATTCGAATTTGCGTCATATCTTTTTCCAATCTTGCTACTTAGATTAATAATTTTATTTAACAAGTTACCTTGAAGACCTTTAAACAAACAGTATTTTTTTTTAGTTTTTAGATAAAAAAAGGTAAATTTTTACTATTACACCAGTCTCCCTTTAAAGACGGAAGAACTCGCCAGAGATCTGAGAAAGAAAAAAAAATGAACATCTCCAAAACAGCTTATTTGCGACGATTTGTGTATAGGAGAAAGATCTCTTAGAACATCGAGATCTTCTTAAAATCATAAAATAAAAATATTCGAGGATGAAACTGGGGTAATAAGTAAAATAATTGTTGCGTTGCGCATTGAGAACGTGGGTAGAATATGTCAATTAAATCACAATTTGTCGAGACTTATTGCGCGGGACTTTTAATTCCCTGCATTAAGAAATATGAATTAAATAATAGAAAAGGCGTTTATCGTCTAAAACGCCATAACTCAAATAATTACTAGTCTGTCATGTGTCTAAAAACTTGGCTCATGATACCTGAATTTGCACTTCATCAAGGAAAGCTTATTTTCATTTCTGATGCAGCCTTTATGAATCCGAATATTTTCCCGGAAACTCATCGAATATGTAGATAGCTTTTTAAGTTAATAATCATCCCTAAGTATTAAGTTTTCTTCACTGTGTTTTTTTTTTTTATTTCGTTTTAGTCAGAACATTTCTTGATGTCTGTGATCATTAATAGGTGTTATTCCGTTAAGTGGTTTTAGGGGCTACCGTTGCTGATTCTTTTTTTTTTTTTTTTTTTTTTTTGTCATATCAATAAAGTATTTATTTATAAACCATTTTTCTTATTCAATCTTTTTAATAACACAAATAAATTATCATACCATGAACAAAAAAAAAATGCCCCCAAACTTAATAGAAACAAAGTTTCATCTCCAAATTTTTTCTTAAGTGGAGGATTTTTTTAAATTTTTTTATAATGTTAGAAATTTTGGTTTAAAAATTTTATTTTTGTTGTAAAAAAAGACATTGATTTGGAAATTCTTGTAAAAATCAAATAATTGATGGGTTTAAAATGTAACTTTCAGGACTTATTCACAACTGAATTAAATTTTAGATGTTGCAACCTCTCTTCATCCCCTACCCCCAAAAATATATACAGACTTATTTAATTTTATGCATTTTTGTGCCACTTAATTTTTATTAGTTAAAAGAACTTGGAAAATTTAAATCAATTTTTTTTTTTTTGTAAAAGAAGACCATATACTGGAAATCTGCTCTGAATTGTAAAATAAAAAGTGCAATAAAACTAAGACATTTATTTAGAAAAGTCTTAATTGTTTTTATGGGTACTATTGTCTTCAGAAAAAAAAATTTATTCAGTAAATAATGAATTTTTACAGGAATTGTTTTCATTTCCTTTAAGTTTTAATTTATAATAATTTATAAAGTTTTCTTTTAAATCTTTTAAAATTCTGTCTTAATTTGTCCCAGTAGATGATATTGTTATTAAGTAAAAATAGATACCTCCACTAGGTTATGCAAAGTATTTATTATTTTTTGAAATTTTTTACTCCTTTCTAGCATGTCTGAAATTTTGTTTAAATTTTTTTTTTTTCATTATTATGCAACAGTGGCAAACTAGAGAGGAAAAGGTTTTTTTTTGTTTTTTTCTGAGGAAAAACACATTGGTTTGGAAATTCTTGCAAAATTCAAATAATTGTCCAATTTTAATGAAACTTATTTACTACTGTAATATACAGCTATTTTAGAAAAAGCTAAAAATAAAAATGATTTCAGTCAATATAATTTCTGTTTAAAATACACCAAAGTATTTTGCTTACTGGAAATAGTAAATTTAACCTGTTTCGCTTTCAATTAAAGTGAAAATGAAAGCTTCAAAAAAGCTTGTTAATTTATAGAAATTCATTTTAAACCTTGGGCATCAAAAATCAGTTTAGTTTTAATTCCAAGTTAATAGATTAAATTTAATACTCCCAATAAGCAAAATACTTTTGTATTTCAAACTGAATTTAAACAGGTTGATATCTTTCTATATTTTTTTTTTCTTATACTAAAATTGGTAAGTTCAATATTGACAGATGTGTCAGCACTGCATAATTCTTTATTTAAAAAGTCTCTCAATTACACTTTTCTGAAACCTTATTTAAGAAAAATTAGCTGGTTTAAAGTTTAATCTGAATTGGAACTAATATTACATTTTAGTTAAAGTATTGCAGAATACTTGTATATGACACTTGTTGAGAAAATGTTAAAAAATTACTAAGTTTAAAATTTACTATTTATGTTTAGCAAGGTAGCTTTGATTACCTCAATTTTTTTCTGTACCATATAAACAAATGCTACATCATGTGAGTTGTCACTTGACATAATGCAGAAACATTCACTTTGCATTGCATTTTCAAGCTTAAAGTAGAGTACCACTGGATACATTGTGAAGTATTCCAGTGATAACTCTGGATCTCATCTTGAACTATAAATTTGTAGTTCTCGGCAAAATCTCCCAGTAACAAAATTTCATTATCACTAATCTTCTCTTCTCTTTATGTACCTTGATTGTGATTTAGCCAAGTAAGAATGAGGTGGTAATTTATTTAGTTGCAAAACAACTAAACCAGTGTAAGCTTGACAGGATTCTTTTTTGTTTATCAATTGGTCAGTTGTTCATTGGGAGAACTCTATTGATTCAGCATTATCAATATATCCTTCCATGGTGTCAAAGAAATTTTTTCAAGCTTCCCTGATGATTTAGGACCATTTGGGCACCTATGAATCATACACTCTCTGCTACTGGTATTACAGACAATATATTTCCAGTGATACATTCAGTGGTTCCAGTAATAATTTCATATTTTGGTGGATAGTGCATACACATACAACATGTGTGCCTGCATTACCACCATTTCAGCCTTAGACTACAAAATTTTGAAAATCCCAACGGTACATCTTGTCCGCTGATGAATATTAGGTCTAATATTAACGTAGTCTTTCCTGCCTGGCATCAGATGAGTATATTCATCATCTTTGTAAAATGCCTCCGCTAACTGTGCAATATCAGCAGGCAAAGACTTGCCCCTTGCACAGCTAAAATACCTCTTTCCAAACACAATTTGTGAGCCTTGCGTACAATGTGTTCTGAAACACCAAACACATACATGAATTTTTTTTGTGACCAGTCAGTAGGGGCAGGTGTCATGATCTGTATTAAGTACTTAGCTTTATCTAAAATCTTTTTGATTTTTAAAGTCAACGTTTAATAACTTGGCTACTTTGGTCTTTACACATTGCATTGCAGGAAAAAAATTTTCTCTTACCTAAAGTAATTGATCTGATTTCATCTTTATCACATTTATTTCCTGAGTAATGAAGCCCTTTTGTTTTCAGTGGAGAAATTCCAATAGCAGAGAAACATTCATTGATATTTCTCTTCTCTGTTTTTGCAAAAGTACTTTTATCAAACTCTTTCATTTCCTCATCTGATACACGTCTTGGTTCTTCATTATTACTACCCTTTTCTGATTCTGCAGAAGTACCTGCTTCAAGTTCTTGTCTTTCCTCATACATGTCTTGGTTCTTCATCATTGGGAAGTAGTTTGTGGATTTGTATTCGATCATTAGGGTAGAGTTTCTTGCCTGGGATTAATACCAACTTAGCCTTTGCCTTGTCTGCCATCTCCAATGAAATTGGTTTCAAACCACCTTTGATTTGCTTTTTATGATTTTTAAATGGATTACAACATCTCTTTTCAAGCCATTCATAGTTAGTCAACAAAGTCTGCTTGTGATGGTAACAGATAGTCTATATTTTATCCTTGTCAAGTCCTGTTCTGTAGGTAGTAAGCTTTACATTCATTGCATCCAACTGATCAACTGAAATCAATCTAACTTGTTTATCATTGAAAAAACCATGACATGTTTCAACTGTTAGCTCAGTACAAATAGAACAATTCATCTTTAATTAAAAAAAGAAACTGCTGTACTTCAAATCCAATGTGCAAGTAAAAAATCCAAGTAATTAGAAAAATACCACCTTTTTCCTTGGATACTGGATGGTAAGTGACAGATGTTCATTCAAAGTTTCCAATTTGATCTGATTTCATCTTTATCACATTTATGGCACAGGTACCATCAAAAACACCAAAGGGACTAGATAAAAATGGAAAAACACTTTGATACTGTTTTATGGAATTGTTTTTTTTTTTTTTTTTTTTTTTTTTTTTTACACCGGAAAAATCATTTTTTTGTTACATAAATTTGTAAAAAAAAAAAAATTTCAAAACAAGAATTAAGTAGATCACAA